CTGGCCACCCAGGTCTTGAAAAGCCTAGTTTCAGTAAAAAGCACCTGGATAATGAATATCTGCTGTCTCTGAACTGCAGGAGCACTGAAGCAGAGCAGGATCATAGACAGCTTTGTTCATAACCTGACTCAGCACAGGCACCTGTGTGCAGGGCACATCACTGGATGCATGCAGTGCAGAACAGGGCACAGCCAGTATTTCAGGAAAAGAATTTCCTTCCTGGTAGCTATCAGCCTAAATGCCTAGTTCTGTAAGTGTATACCTTCCCTACAAAATTTAGCTGATAGAAAAGAAGCAAATTGAAAGACTTTCTCTTTTCTGCCATCACAAGTATAGACATGTGTATGCCCCAAAAGAAAGTCAGTGATGGTATTGCCACTTAAAATTTTACAGTAATAGCCACAAGACACGGTAGTTTTACATCACTTCTTTCCTAAATCAGGACAAAATTTGAACAAATTCCATTTCAAGCATTTAGCTAAACAGACAGAAATGAGATTTAATTTCATTCAGAAAACAGGGTCTCACTAATTCTTAAGAATATTTTCATGATAATCATTTTTACAAAAGCACAGGCCATGACTGACAGAGATGATGTGGCTTTCATCAGCTCACCACAGTGCCAAAATTAAGGCATCTAATCTACTGAGTGGCTCAGAAAGAGGCATTAGCTGCCCACAGATCCAGTACAGCCAGGTGAGAGAGCAATTAACTAGTGACCAGAGAGCATTGAACTCCTCAGAGAGATGATCCACTCAAAAGCCCTACACACAGAGCTGAAAGCAGCATGGGTCTAGCTAACAAAAAAGGCTGAGGAAGGGATGTTTTTGAGTACTTCTCCAGAGCTCAAACATCTCATTTGTAGCTCCTGTCTGCATTTTCTCAGAAGAAAGCAGCAATTCAGTAGGAATTATTTTAGAGGGGGCAGGGGTGGTGATGATTACACCCATCTCAGCTTGAAGCCATTCAGCAGTGCACGTCCCATCTGTTAGCTAAGTGCCTTGAGTAAAAAGCACACAAAGACAGATGTGCTGATTCTTCATCTTTCCTCCCTAGGCTGGACTGGCTGTATAATTATGAATGTGAAGGGGAAAAGTAAAGGGCAGAGGAGGTCCATGGGCACCAGCTGAGGTTATACTTTGCACTGATTTGTAGGATGAAAATCCCAGGGTGTACTGGGCTATGTGGAGATTTGGATACTATGTTTTCAGCATTCTTTCCATGAGTTTAGGCATCTGTGGGAGCTTTTGAGCATCCCTCTTCATCCCACCCCAGTAGCCTCAGGACAACCTATGAAACAAGAGATGATAGATATTTCATAACACCTGCATAAAACAGCAACAAAAAAAATCTTGTGTTGTTTGGGATGAATGGAATATCAAAACATGTAAAACCAACCTTTACAGTCAGACTTGTTGCAAGATTTCCTCCATCCTCTTTCAAGTGCCCATGCTCAGTTTCCTTTCTTTTTAAGCATTTCACACAAAGATTACCTGTGCTTCTTTCCTTCACAAAGACACAACTTTTCTTGGTTGCTAGAACAATCCTGTACTTTTTTAAGAGGGAGAAAAGGAGATTTCTGGGGTCACCAGTAATATTCCAGTAAGCCACGAGAGGGCAGGTTGTGCTCTCGATACAGCTGCAGATTTTATAAACAGCTGTTAAGTCCCCTCACATTTTTAAAGCCCTAGTTACCAAACTAAGCTCCAGCCAGTGAAAAGAGGAATTCATGGGTCTTTGATCCTAGAACTTCTTAACATCAATCTAATGCCCTTATTGCTTTCCTTCTGGAAAGGAAAATACCTTTCCACTCAGTTTACATGTGAGACAACAACAATTCTCCTTTGCTTTACCCACAGGCTGTTAGGCAAAATTTGTTCTAACAAGTTAGCTGCTGTGCTACATTTTTTACATTTCTCCCTCTTTCTTTCCTTCCTCTACCCCACTGCCACTGTCACATACCCATAACCAGGACAGCTTGCAAAGCAAACCCTTGGGACAGCAGCATCCAAACCTCCAAGGTTTGGCTGCTGGGCACCCTCTAAGCCCAAGGAAAATTCTTATCCACCCTTAGAAATAGCAGTCTAGAGTGCCTCCTAAATTTTGACATCCAGATCCCACAAAGGACAAAAATTTGTCCATCTCCATCCAATAGCAGCTCTCTAAATTAGTGTTTTACACAAAGTGGTGCATGTTCTAGGTTGTTCAGCTTGGAGAAGAGAAGGCTACAGGGAGACCTTGCTGCAGTCTTTCAATACTCAAACAGGGCTTATAAGAAAGATGGGGACAAAATTTTTAATGGAGCCTGTTGTAATAGGACAAGGGGTAATGGTTTCAAATTAAAAGAGTGTAGATTTAGACTGGGCATAAGAATAAATTTATTATAATGAGGATGGTGAAACACCGTCACAGGTTGCCCAGAGAGGCGATGGGTGCCACATCCCTGTGAACATTCAAGGTTGGGTTAAAGGACTCTGAGCAACCTAATCTAAAGATGTTCCTGCTCACTGCAGAGGAGCTGGACTAGATGATCCAGAACCAAAGTGTTCTGTGACTCTATATGAACACTCTTGTAGTGCTGGAAAACAGCTGACAGCATCTTGAGAAAGGCACATGGAGATCTCAGACCCAGCTGCCTTCTGACATACATCAGGGTCAACTAATGTGAAACACGTAAGCTCAATCTCTGGAGACCTCATCTGTTGTCTTCAGCATCAGATAACACCAGTCCCTAAATAACAAAACCCCCAAAAGGCAGCCTGAGTTGGGAACTAAGGTGTTGCCATCTTATTACGAAGGTTTCATACCTTCTTGGTGATTTCTCAAGGGCAGCTCCTCGTAGCATTGACTCCATCTTCTTCTCAGCACAACCAACAAACTCCATCTAACTTCTCAACCAGCCAACCTACCCTCTTTTATAATACCCATCCTAACTGGCTATAGCTGTGGCCTATTAAGGGCAGGCCTGTTCCTAATGATTGATAATTAGCACAGCTGTAACTCCTTAGGGGTGAGATTACCTTCATCACTATCTCTATTTTCCTATGTTCCACCCATCCACACTAAGGTACTGAGTTGAGCAGCTGTTGGGACCCAGGACATTTCTCTGAATGCCCTGGATGATTCAAGACCCTGGCAAGGGGCTCAGAGACCCTGGCATGGAGTCAAAAACAAGTCTATGGATTTTAGTCCATAGAAAAAATTACCAACTTTGTGTGAAGATTAACAAGCCACAAGAGTTTAAGTGGAATGATAGTTAATTTGTCACAGGGTGAAAAAGTAGAATTTTGACATTTTAGAATGGGGGCTCAAGAGGCCAGATGGAAGAATCTAAGCCTATCCTGTCCTTCTTCTCCATCTTCTTACCCTCCATCTTCTGCTGTGATGGTGACACTTCTTGATTAGTTTAGAGTAGAAACAAACTTATGTCTAACATAAGTGATAAGTATTAGAAAATTATTATGAAGTATGCACAGTTCTTAGTATAAAAAGTAAACACCACCCCAAAAGCAAGCAGTGTGCCACAACCAGACTTGCAAAACAGATCTCAGTAAGTCAAAGAAAGAATGCAACAAGTAAGAAAAAATAAACAACCTTAAAAGGCAGAACCGACAAAATCTCGACTTCTTCTTCAGTCACAAAGCTGGGAAAAAAGAGACTTTCTAACACTTCAGAGTCATCTCAACCTCAGAAATCCAAGAAGCTGCTCTACAAAAAGTGCTTCAACCTTTGACATCTTGGACATAATCCAGGAACAAGTGCACTGGGATCCTCCAAAGGCACCACAAAACAGCAGAAATGGCAGCAGATGCTGTCCTCCTCATGGAGCAAAGGCTATTTGAGTGTGTGGTGAGCAACTTTGTTTGACCCAAAAAGTCTGCATTTTAGACGTAAGTTTTGTGAGTTACGCATATTCAAAGCTATGTGAAAACCACCTTCTTTCTAGTCCACACAGGTGGCATTTAACAGGCCTAAAAGAAATGCCAGAAAATGTTACTAACTGAATTTTTTTATTCAAGGCTAAAAAAGCAAAGGTTTTATAAGACGCCACAATACACAAAGTCTGAATACTCCATTAATGTAATATATCAAGCACCAAAGCTGACAGGATCTGTTCAAGATGTCATTTGCTATGTAAAAAGACCTGTTCCAAGATAACACTAAAGAACCACACAAATGGGCTTCAAATCTCTGTCTAAATAAAGAAATATATAGGAAATGTATAATGGAATGTTTAGGATGGGGTCTAGCAACTGCCACATCCAAACCTGATTTCCCATCTGCACACCTGAGTAATGCAAGCTATCTTAGTCTTGTCACCTTGAGTCCTGCATCCTAGACTCTGGAAATTTGGAAGTTTATGTCTAGATTCATAGAACAGTGCATCAGAGACAAAAAGTTAAGTCCCACTTTCAACTTCTGTCCAAAGTCCCTAACACAGATGTAAAACAAAAGTGTATATCTAGTGTCAGGGAACTCCCGGTCTTAAATGTTAGGAGTTGGGAGTTTTGGAGTTTACCTATTGCTGTCACCAACTTTATTGGAAATAACATACGAAATTGATCATGCTTCTGAAATAAACTGTAACCAGGGTAGTATTTTGCCAAATAATATTTTGTCAAACTGCATGAAACATTTCGAACCTTAAAACAAGACTATGTTATTCAGAATATTTATTGATAACTGTAAAATAATGTATTATTCAACTATACATGTAGAATTAATAACTTTCAGCACATCTTAATGCTACTAAATTAAATCAAGAACACATTGAGGTGAAAAATTATCTTGGTTATTCAAGTTGGTTTTCTCCTATTTGGATTCTCAGCTGTCTTGATCTAAATCTATAGAGGATGATTTACAAGTGTCACATACTCCAGATAACATTTAGTCATGAGAAAAATCTAGCCTGACTTGGGCCATTCTCATACCTACCCAGAGACTTCACACATTACAATTCACAAGATAACGGGAAAAACCTGAATGAGAACCATTTAGTCAGCTGTCAAAGGAGTGCATGATAAAGTCTCAGCTAAGATACCAGTAAGGCAATCAAGGTCACTTCCTACAAGAGCAAGCAAAGAAAGTGAAGGCACTAGGCCTCTCCCATGTACTTCTTGGGGCTGAAGCTCACATTCATCAGGGGCTCAAAACCTCTTCTGTGCCTTCGGTGCTGGAAAAGTACAAGCAGCAGAACAAGCACGGCCAGAGCTATAAGTGCTCCTCCAATTGTGGATCCAACCATGACAGCCCATGCTTGGGTTTCATCAAGGGAACCTGGAAATATGAAACAACTGAAGTGAGGACCGCCCAAAATTCAATTTTGCAAATCACACGGAAGACACAACAATTCCTTCATGCTGATAATTACAATTACTTGTGCAGCTTAGTGACCTACGGGCCACAGGCAAAATTCATAACTGAGACACATACCAGAGATGGAGATGTTTCCTGCCAGAGAAGTCTACAGCTGAATTTAAACTTCAACAATTCATACAAATTTAAGTGTTGGGAATGGAAAAGATTAACATTGACAAGACAAAAAGACCATTCTTTCATCTAATTCGGCCAAAATTATGCATGATCTAAGAAATTCTTTCTATAGCGACGTTTCAAGACAGCTGCTTCCAAGCTATTTTGATCAAGAGAAAACCCTCAAATTTTCCTAAACACCACAAAGCAGCCTACTGTCAAACTTTTAACTGAAAATACTACTTAGTGTGCTTCTGCTGACCAGTCCCAGATTTCATCTGCTGATTCTGAACCACTTCTGAAGAACCATTATCTTCAAAGATAATATTGCTTATTCCTGTAATAACACTGCTCCTCTTGACTAAATGTTTGTGTTTTCATCTGTGCTTTCAGAAGTAAAAATTGCCTGCCCTCCTTTCCTGAAGAATGTTACGTATACTGAGATGGCAATAATCACATTTGACTAAACAATCAGCAAAAAGAAAAAAAAAAAACCTCTCAAGAGGACTGTACATATTAAAAAGTTATCTAGATATATGGGTTAGAGGAGACAGATGGCTAAGGGAGATATCACACTGACTATAAAAGCAACTGAAAGTCTTGTGCCCCAATCTGCAGTCTTCAAAAAGGTTGAGTGTAATCATTCCAAAAATTAGTAAAGTCCCAAAATGGATTGTTTACTGCCTTATCACCTTTCAAATAAGAACCAGCAATGTATTAATATATGTTTATTTCCAATGTGATTACCTGAAGTACAATTAACAAGTTATTCTTTTAGTTGAAAGAGAAGGGTTTGAATGTAAAAACTGTATTGTCTGAACATAGGCCATGCAGACAGGGATAGATACACTCCTTCACAAAGAGCTAAAAATTTATTTAAGTGTGAGTCAGAAGCCACAGAGTCACAAGCTATCCATGTTCCTGTCTGGGTGCCTCATGCCAAAGGGGCATCCACATCTGCAAATCTGCAAAGCAGGAGAGGGGGTCAGTAATACCAAAGGGAGAAAAACTTAAATTCCATAAGAGGGGAAGTTTAAATTTTCAGGGGAAATTATGGGGATGTCCTTGAGAAAAGCACTGCAGAAGCAGCTAGCATGCCTCCACAAATCAGGGCTCCCTGCATGAATGCAGCCTGAGGGCAAGGGTTTCAATCTTTTGCAGTCTATAGACCTTCAAATAGTCTCCACAGATTAAAAACACAGATGTATGGTAAGCATTTAGAAGAAATTCCTGCCCACACAGGTTAGATAAGCACCTTATGCCTCTCAAAGTAATACTGAAATGGAGAAAGAAATTACTCAGATTTAATCTTTGGAAAAGCAACTGAAGCATGGTTTTCATGCAGATCTTACTCTTCTGCTTTTTACAAATGTTTTAATATCTTGTTGCAAAACTTGGGTTTTCTGCATAAATACTTTGCTTTCTTGCTATTTTGTCCTTGTCTGATTTGTGTCAAGGGTAATTTCAAATGAATAGACAAACACTAAGGAAGATCCCAGCTATGGACATGGAAAATCTTTAAAAGTGGGGGTTTACAACAAAAAACATCCAGGTACATCTTTCCAGGTACCCAAATATTAATGCTGGGAAGTGAGCAGGTGAATAGACCTGTGTGTTTTGTGAAAGGTTCCTTATTTTATATTTGCCTGTGCCACGAAAAATGTGAGCTGTCTCATCACTTGCTCAGGAACAGCATGCTGGGACGTACCTGGCAGGTCGATGGCATAGGTGTAGCCGAGCTGCTCCGCAGTCTGGAAGAGCTCGTCGTTGGTCACCGGGGGGAAAAAGGGGACCATGTTATACAGCCGGTTGTGCCCGATGGGGGCCAGCTCCTCGGGCCAAGCGTTGTCAGGGGGCTTGAAACGCTTCATCCACTCATCAAAGATGGCATCAGTAAAGGAGTGAAGAACCTGCAAATCCAGGCATGGACATGTGTATTTATTGAGCTCTTTCGGAAATCAACCACTTTTAAAATATGGGAAAAACAAGCAAGGCGGCTGGAGCTTTTGAAAGAGAGAGAAGAGGCTAATTTAATTTAGATGGGATTTACAGAACTGGAAATCAGGAAAGCTCATGAGAAGACTAAACTGATCTTCTGCATGGGACCTTTTGCTTTATATGCCCTTGTTGCTGCTTGTTCACAATAAGATCTTTCTCCAGACAGTTTAACACTAGCTGACATCAAATGGACAGGTCAGTCTTCCTCACAGGTGAGGAGCCACCCCACTCATTCAGGTGAATGTGCCTTTCAAAATTATTTTAAGTTTCCTCATCTCTGAAAAAGTATGGAACGTTGCAGGAAATTTGACTCCATCATGCTCATTTTAGAGCATGCGCCACCAGCTCCACAGCTGCAGGTGCTCATGACTTTGATCAGGTGAGTTTATAGATCTAAAATTAACTAAAGCAGGAAAGTTGTTTTAGACAACTATTACAAATGTCGGAAACTAATTTCTGATGTATTCATGGTTTTTTAATTATAACCCTGGAAAAAACTTGGAAAATAATCTATAGAAAATAATCTCATGTACAAAATTACAGCATAATGAAATGAATTTCACTGTGTAGAAAAGAAATTAATGCAGGATTTAAAGAATTATTAAAGAAACAATCTGAAGAATCACTGCAAAAGTATTTGGACTAATTTCTGCAAAATAAAAGGTGGAAAACTTAAGGGTAAGAAAGAAATGTACCTACATGTATATAGATATAATAGATAAAGAATTTATATATGTAATGTAAACACTGTGGTTTAATCTAACAAAGAGGAGAATAAATTTGCATTAATTTACTAGGGGAGAAAGATGTATAAGCAGAGTTAGCTACTGGCTTTTGCACAATGGCATTTGTACAATGGTGTTTGTGCTGCTCATGGCAGTGCAGCACTATTTCAATGCACCACTGAAATAATTTTCTTTCTATTTGCCACGACACCCTGACATTAGATGGACTTCCTTTTAGCCTGTGAATTTTAAAACAAAGAAACAAACCACTCAACCTACTGCTTTAAAATAACTATCCCCACTTTCACCTTACCTTGTTGCTGTAAAATAAGGTTTTATCGTTGTGTGATATAAGCCATTAGATTTAGATACCAGTTAATAAAATTATTCAAGGCAGCATGACTTGGAATAGCAGCTCTTCTCCCTAGAATCTTATTTTATATTTTACAAATTACCCTGAGATTTTTTTTCTTTTTTATTCAACACTTATGCAGGTGTGGCACTGTTCAATAAAAGATAAGGGATTCCTCCTTTTCTATTTAAATAACTATTTCTTAGGGAATTCACTTTACTTGTTCTTCAAATCCCTTGTGAGAAAGGTGCCTTTGAGCCTCAGCCATTGTTAATCACGCTGGAGGTAAGCGACATACCACAAAGATGGGATCATTGGCAGCTGCGTGAGGGAGAGCACTGGTCCCATTCAGGAAAGAGTGAACCAGATTATGAAGGCTCAGCATCGGCGAGTCAAGGGCTCCATCTGGTTTATCAAAGCCCTCCAGCGCATTCCTGCGGATGGGTAAAAGCACCATCAAGTAAGCACATTTTGCTGACAAATGTGCTCATAAAGAAAACCAGTGACCCAGCCAGCTCTAGAGGAGCCAAAGCACAAACCTGAAACTGAAACTGGAATTGCGGAAAAAGGGGGGTCTGTCGAACTCCTGCAGGGAAAGGCACCTCCTGACATCTTCCACGGTGGGTAGCTGCTCGCTGGAGCCGCGGGGCGGCCTCCGCCGCAGCGGCCCCTCATCAGTGCCATTGCACAGCGTGACCAGGCGGTTGTAGTCATCCAAACTGAGCGTGGAACAGGGAGAAGCACAAGTCAGAAGAAGGTGAGCACTTGTTTGTTGGCTTTTTTCCATGCAGTACAAAGAGGCCTCGGCTATACATGTGAGAGAACAGAGGTTTGGGATGGACACCTCCTGGGGAAGCTCAGTTCACCTCTCACAGCCTGGCAGATGAATTTATTGCAGAACCGTCACCACGACATGGCTTTCTGTGGCCCTGCATCCTCTGTGGACCATCAGTCATTTAGACCAAAAGTTACCAGGTTCATTGTCCACAGAGAGAGGATGTTTTCAAAAAAGCAAGCACAACTCCCACCATGCCTTCTCTCCTCCCAAAGGCTTTGGAAGAAGTTTTCGTCAGGCAATGTAAAATGGAGTTTTCAATTTTGAATTGACAAACTTTCACTCCTGATTATGGACTATTTTTTAAACTCTTAACAAAAAGGCAAAAAATGAAGGGAAATGTGAGCTGAGAAAACACAAGAAATTACAGAAAACAGGTTTTCACTTGCCTTCTCTCAGCCACTTTAGAAGAAAAGCAAGAGCAATGCATTGCATCCTCTTTTTTCAGGGCCTTCGAGAACAACCTGCTGTTGCAGGGCTTACCCAGTAACTAATGGGGAGCAAATCCTTTATACCAGGGAGAGAAAGAGGGAAGAAAACCAGTGTAACAGGGTGAAACAAAAAAAAAATCTGTTCTATTCAGTGTGAAATGAAACAGCATTTTCAGAAACTTTTGAAGTAGACAAAAGCTCTTCTCAGTTTAACCTTGCTGAAACAAAAGTTAGGTCACTTCAGTTTTCAAGAAAAAATCCAAAGCCCTATGTATCTTTGAGAAAAGAATAGGGGCATGACTTAAAGCCAGCTGGTGCCTAAAGCTGGAATTTCAAATATCTCTTTAGGTATCCAGAAAAAGAGACTATTTTGAAAAACCCTGAGCTTTTGGTACCTATGTCTGACTAACTGCACACTGCCCCTGAGCTGACAGAAGAATGATGTATGGGTATTGTAACCAACAGCATTTTATGTCTCAGCACCCTGATCCCACATGTGAATCCCCTGTCAAAGCCCTGCTCTCACATGAGTCAGCACATTCCCACAGGGAGCTGGCACCAAGCTCCTGGCTGGCTCTGTGCTGTTTTTCATGTGAAATCTCAGATATTTCAAAGCCAATCCCCAAACTGCATTAAATATATCAGGGTTAAAGTCTCATCCAAAACAAGGTAGCAGACTTTCCAGCCTATCTCTAGCTTCCTATATGCCAAAACAATTTTCTTTTTCTGCTGCTGAGATCAGTTGGGTGTATGTAATAGAGAACCAACACACAGGCATTTCTTTTTTAGAAAGATACTTGCCAATTGGGAAACTCTTCAGACTTTTGGCAGCCATAAATTCTCTAAATCAACTAAAATCCTGTACTAGAAGAATCATCTTTAAAAAATACACTTCCACAATATGAGAAAGTTTACACAGAACCATCTACCCATAAACTGATGGCGATTTCCAGCTTTAAAGAAGATATTTTGGCTCTTTTCCTGCCACTCACTCAAACTGAGAGAGCAGCCTATGCTGTCGATGCTGAATGACAGCAAGGTTTTGTCCATGTGTGAGCTTGCCCTGGGTACTCCCCTACCTGTTACAAACTACTTGCCACCGGGAGAACCTGGAGCTCAGGTTGATCAGGCCCGGGTCGTCGGGCCGCGATGCCCCAAAGAGCTGGTCCGTGCAGATGTCACACTCGTTCCTGCCCGTGGCGAAGTTCCAGTATGGCAGCGCAAAGGACTCGTTGCCCGTCAAGCGCTGCAATGGACAGAAATGTGTTAGTTAGGAATCAGCTCCAAAGGGAAGAGAAAGAAAGGGACTCCTTCAAGCTGTTTGACTGGATATTTCACTGAATATTCAGCTTTTCGTTCTGCATTTCAACTACCTGCATTTCACAGTGCCACTCCAACTCCTTCCAAAAGATTATAGCATCAAATCAGTCTAAGCAAAGACACTGTCACTAGTTTCCCTACTGTGAGATTGCACTTCCTTTGGCCATGTTAGGCTTTCTGCCAATTCAGAGACCAGGCAGGAGAGCAGGAGCAGAGATGAATTGAGCCTTAAGCAAGTAACAGGCTTTGAGTGATGTAAGTGGGTAATGGGTAAAATTGTGCGTGTGGTTGGCTTTCGTTCCAGAAAACTGGCCCTGGGGAGGAATCTGAACTTGTGTTAATAGGGGAGTACAGTGCATTTGATTGAGCTTGCTTGCCAGATACAATTTCACACAAGCAAGATCCTGCAGCTATTTTGATAAGCAACCATTTTCATTAGAGATCTGTAAGGCTAAAATACAGCAACACTGCCAATATAGAAGTCATGCAAATGGAAATGAGTCTATGCTTCTGCAACTGACTCTCGGGCACGTTAACATATATTAGTTTAAAAGGCATATTGCTAAACATATGTATGTATTAAATGCATAATATGTCATATTTAAAGGGAGTAATATTTAGAGCTGGTTTCATAGGAACAGCATCTTCAACATCAGCCAACAATATCTGTTACCAAGTTTAACATGAAGGTGTTGCTTCAATTTTATTAAGAAATACTGTTACTTCACATCTTCTATCCTCTGTCATGGAGATGAAGGGAAAAAAATCTCCATTATAACCTTTACATCACTGTTCCTGGTGAGAAACCATTCAGTCCTCAGCACTCAGAAAGCACTAATTTCACTTAAAACAAAACAAAAAAATTATCAATGAGCTGTTACTCCTGGGAGTTTGGGTGGGAAACTATCCTAGGAGGTAGCTTACCCTTGGCTGGCTCAACAAAGTGACAGTGCAAAAGAGAGAAGCTGTGCAAGGAAAAGGAAAGGCTGTTCAACTAACCTGCAATTCTCTCTCCAGCCACAGCAAGTGGTACCTATGCCAAGTAACGAAGGCAGGCCCTTGGTGGGAGAAATCAATGCCTTTGAAGGGGCGGCCAGGACCTACAAAGGGATGATAAAGCAAGCACTTAGGCATCAAACGAGGCTGGAGAGAAAGACAGCACTTCCTTTTATTGCCTGGAGTGGAGTTAAACAAGAACCTTCAACTATGCATCTTTGAAAAAAGTGAACACATCAGAAGCTACATCACTTACTTGGGACAAGTGAAACAAACTCCTCTGAACAAAACCTCGCATTCTCTGAAAAGCTGGATATTGTGAAGATTTCTTCTCACTTTAGTGGATTTTAATTTTAAAAAGCCGGTTTACTTTCTAAAACCCTATCTCCTTACCAATATGTGCATTACCTCATTCTCTTGCTCAGCTGCAAGACTTACACCATATAAGACTTCCACCATGTATCTATCAAGAGAACCTTAGCATTTTCCATGCCAATAGTAATCCAGAATCCTTTGCCAAATTTCTTCAATTTGTGCTTGTTATTTCTTGTATAGTGCTTTTGCTGGGTGAGAGGTGAGAGGCTTCAAACCACACATGGATTTGTTTATCACTGTAGAAACCTTCAACCCACACATGCATTTATTTACCATTGCAGCAGCACTAGAAGTTTCCCCTTTCCCTTTCCACATGACCGTCCTGTTCCCTGAAAAACCTTTGCTCTCACTATGCCAGAGGCTGCTTCCTTCAGCCCTGCGAAAGGGAGCTGTGCCAGAGGGGCAAACTGAGTCATACCCACTGCAGAGCAGCAGTCGCCCTCCAGCAAGGAGATAGGCATGGGCTGTTCAGCTTGCACAGGGGACTAGCAGGCAGAAAAGCCATCACTGGTTGGTGCACCTCCTACAAGAAGTAGGCTTTGTGAAATGGGGCTGGTATAGGTACTTCTGTCTAGAAAATAAATGAGGCCCAGGAATCTGAATTTGGGAGGAAGCATGGGGTTAGATACCCAAACCTCTAAGCTAGGTTTTAAAAGGTAACCGTGGATAGTCAGGCAAATCCCATCCTTAGGGACTTGCTGAAAGCCAGAGAAAGCAGTAGGACTCTGATCCAAATATCTCTGCATGGCCTGTGGCTTCACCACTGCAGACCCCCTTTCCCACCACCATTGCATCTACCTTGTCCTATGGACTGGGAACATCTTTTTGAAGTCAGTCACTGCATGGCCACACTTCAGTTCACTCAAGTGAAGACTGTGCCTTGCTCCCTGTCAGACTGAAGATGCACCAGGAGTGCAACTGGTGTGCTCCAGCTGCCACGGGGTGTGGGGACCAGACCATAGCAGGTCCAAAGGACATCTCCCTTGAGTACTGATGGCCACCATCTTCTCACACCAACTGTTTCACTCCATAGCTCTGTGCCTACTACTGGGACACTTGTTCAGCGGTGGTATTTTCATCCTTTTCTTTACCTGCAGAGCCCATTGGAAAAGAAAAGCACTTACCCAAGAGTGTGTCTCTGACTGAGTAGTAATGAAGCCAAACAAAGTAGTTATAGATACTGCAGTTGGCAATCTGTGGTTCCTGTCCGCTTGGACCAAGCAGACTTCTCCAGTGCTGAGTTGCAATGACATAGTCCGGGTGAATGGTTGTCTTGGCACGGTCTAGAGCATCAAAGAACTGCTCTCTCTCCTCTGCTGTCAGGGAGTGGATGTCCTTCCTGACAACTGCTGGCTTCCTCCTGTTGCATTCGGGGCCAGTCCAGCCAAACTTGCATTCACCACAGTTGTACCCACCAAAGTTTCCTGGATCAAGAGGGAACAATCAGTCATGACATTACGAAGCAGGAAAAACTAACAGTGCAATGTAGAAGAATGAAGAATTAGTGCTCTTCTTCCCCAGAGATGCCAGTTCCTGGAAAGGACAGCAGCTGAGCAGACTTGCAGCTTTGCCAATTGACTAACCAGAAGGATGACTGGCTCGATTCCCAGAGCCACAGCAGAGCCAAGAATCACAGTCAGCCAGTTGGGGAAGTGCTGGGTAATGGGCTTGACGCCCTGAGGTGCTCAGAGCTCTGCAAAGCCCTCAGGCACGTGAGGACTCCCACTGAACAGAGAGCTGAGCAATTGAGGTTAAGCCAGTGATGAAGTGCTTTGCTCGACTGGCTCTCAAGTACTCCTGTACTTCCAGGATCAAATCCAAACAGGGTCAGTTCACATGGATCCTTAAGCTCAGAAAAAAATCCCTAAACAAAACAGTTCTCTTAAGAACAAAACTTATGTGAAACTAGTGCCTCTTAACAGTGTATCTGGGGCCCAACACAAACCAGGACAAGCACCAGGGCTGCTGCTGGTCACACTTTAAACATTATTAAATAGTGCTGCAATTAGTGCAAATAGTGCTGAGAAACACTGCACTACTGTCATTCCCTGCTGGCATCAATCCTAAGGCAAGTAATCAGGTCTGCTCTAGGATATTAGATCAGACTCTCTGATGAGATGGAAGAGCCCAGGAAAGCAGAGCTTGTTTTAAGAGTGGTCTCCTGCATGCTGTGGCAGACAGCTGGCAGCAGCAAAAAGACCCCACTGGATCTTGTTCCCCCGTTTCTGGGGGAGCCAGGGAACAACCAGCCATTCCTGCAGTACACACCTGCCCCCTGCCTGTGTGCTGGTAGGCTGCACCAGTGTGGGACATGGGGCAATCTTGCCAGGGGCAGGGGGAAGCAGAGGGCAACAGGGTTCCTCTGGGATCTTTACACTGCTATCAAAAATCTGCACTGACTCCTTAACCTGTTCTCAACCTCCCCTCCAACTCCCCACACACTCATTCCACAACAACCATGACAAAATGCCACAGAATCTCACTGCTCACCACACATATTGGTGCTGGACTAACATGGAGATGAGGAAGTATCTTATGAAATGTTCCCAAATGGGCAGATGTCCCTAGGCTGTAGGCTTGACCCTATGACCAGAACAGCAATTAACATTAAACCAAGATTTCAGATTGCTGGGGGCTACAGGGATAATTACCAAATTCAAGGTTACAAGGGCTGTTAACAACAAGGCTATGAAGCTTATGTCTAGCTTTTAGGGTAAGAGCTGCTGAAATATAAACATCTGTGGCAGACTTCTGTGAGACAAAGATTGCAAAGAATATATGGGGACTCTTACTGCAGAGTTTGAACCAAATGTAGGGTGGTTATGGTTGCCTCAGAGCCCCTGAGATCTCTAAGTTTACATGTTGTCATGAAGCTGAGGATCAGTGCTGAGTTTAGTGACCACAGGAATGAAGGTTTCATTGGGGTTTTGGATCATGCACATCCCAATGGCATCCCATGAGGGCAATTTCCAAATATATGGCTTACAGTTTGTCATGAAGCAAGTAGAAGCAGCTGGTTTCAGCTGCCATATTCCAGATATGAGGGAAGGCACCCAAAGCCAGGGGTCTGAACTGGCTAAAGGGGATGAAGACATACACCAGAAAAAGCAAGAGGTTATAGCTATATGAAACAAAGTAGATTGTGTGGATTGTATGGACTGGAGTGGAGGGGAGGTAAGCAACATGGAAGATTTATTTGATCACAGTACCCTAAGGGTCCCATCAGAATAGCGCAATCACTGCAATTACTGTTATCAATTCAGTATGCTCCATTATCTGTGTCTTGTTCATTCTTCATGACTCAGCCTAGTTATTAGGGCCCATCACAGACTCCAGCCTGAACTGACCAGATGAAAAATATTAAGAATACCTTACAACATTGCACAATTAGGCCATGTATACTGCTCAAGTTTCAGTCATGGACCACGAACTTCTGGAAAGCACCTATTGACCCCTCACACTCAGGTACAATTCAATCCTTAAGAGAAGGAGGAAAAAGCAGGAATTAACCATGAAAAGATCTGTCAACAACCTCTTTTGAGACTGGCAGTTATTCCTCCAGTCATTTAAGGGACCCATCTACTCACAATGCTGGATAAGCATCACATTGAAATACAGCACTAACAGAACCAGAGGCAGTGCAGGACCAGGCTTGTGCTGTCTGGGTTGGTACTAGAACAAGACACTCTCGGTCACTTGAAGCACAGATGGTGCCTATTCCTCTCTCAGGAAGGGCCCTTTGAATCTGTAGGTCTTGATGCCTGAAATATTTTTATCATACAATATCTGTATTTTAGGTATACTCTATGCACCGCCTGAGGCTCTGACAATTTGCAAAGGTCTGAAATTATGCATTATCTTCATGGGAAGAAAGCTTTCCTCCAACTGTGTGTATCTGGAGCCAGGTGGACCAGTGACTTGTCACCTGCTTCCCTCAGGCAGGTAATAATTATATCCAATTGATGCTCTCCAGGGTTGTCTCCCTCAACCACCCTATCTATGAAGGAATCCAAGGGCTCCATTCTTTCCATCACTTCCCCAGTCACTTTTCCATGGGGCATGAGCTTTTACAAAGTGAGGAGGACTGCACTGGAGACTTGCAAACAGGAGACAATTTCCAGGCAAAGTGGTATTTCACACTGCAATACTTCTGCCAATTGTGTTGAACATTTTTGTCACATCCTTGGGTCTATTTGATAATGTGCCATTGTCAGAAACACACAAAACCACAAAACTTCATTATATAAAAACTTGTTTTTCACCATTTTTTTTCAACAGGCTCTATGCATCACAGGACTGCCACTATGCAGCAGCTGAAATGGCAAGAAAATTATGGAGGTCTATGGGATTTCCCATAATTCAAAGATAAATTACTGCAGTAATCAGACACAGCTTTTTTATAACCCACCCAAATCCTTTTTCAGCATTTGTTTCTAAAGCATTCTGCCAGGCCACTGATCTGGAAATTATGCATTACTGTTTCCAGAAAGTTCATTTACTGCCATGTGCACTTCCCACATGACAGCATTGTGAAATGCTGGTCTCTTAACTTCACTGTCGGCTATGCTAGTGATGGTGGACTTCAATGGTTCAGCTCTATGAAAGCAGGAAAAATAACCTCCTGATAGCAGGATATAGTGCCCAGTAGATATTTTCAGTAAGGCAGTGAAGCCCTTTCAAGATTCTTTTGCACACAGGAACTCTAGGAACATGCAAGGATTCATGCCTTAGCATTTTTTCACCTTCAGTGATTAACACATAGGAACTCAGTGCACAACCCTCCTGAGGCTCTGCCAGGGACAACAGAGATTATTATCATCTCTTGTGGTTTCCAGAGAATACAGTGTGGGAGGTCATTCTGGTACACAGGAAGGAGATCAAATCACTGTTGGATGCTCCCGGCTTCCACTGTTTCCAGGAATGTCCACTGTACTGCCGCTGATCAAAATATCATCTGTGTATTCTCCATTAACCCTTTTGTCTGGAGATGGGATCACATGCCTGGGGAGCTGCCTTCTTCTGTACCCAATCTCAACAACACCTAAAGTACTCTTTCTCAGTCAAGTTGGGTCTTGAATCTGACAGAATCTGACTGTTTCTGTAGGTACTATGGCCATGATACTTCTCCCAGTGGGTCAATCCATGAGCATGGCACTGGGAAAAATACACCTCTTATGACCTGTCACTCGGTATGTGCTGACACACATCACTGTTGTATGCTAACACCAGTCATCACACACCACTGTAGCAGCTTCTCAAGCCTGGGCATTGCCTGAGATAATGGATTTTCTACCTCTTAGTGGCTGTAACATGGCTGGCCTTCAGTCACCAAACACAAATTAATAACTCCATCAGCTTAGTGTCTTTTCTTCAGTAAAAATGAACCCACTCAACACTTACCATCTTCTGCCTTGTTTTAGTGCACCAAGATGACACCCAGGCAGCTGCCATGCCTCTTCATTCTATAGAGACCAGTTCAAATTAATGCCCATCATCTATCGGATGGGGAGAAAGGATTCCTTTCCAGACTTCTTTAGCTATTGCATTAAAACAGGAGTTATGCTGGATTTGAAACACCTGCATACTGCAATTTCTCAAAACTGGGATCAGGACTGCTAACATGTGGAACAAATGGTTAGCTCTTCCCTCTTTTCTAGCTCTTCATTTGGACACACTCACAGGCTGCAGGATGCGGAAGATCTGTACGTACACTGGATTTAATAGGGTCATCAAGGTATGGCTATAATTTAGTATTGCCCCACAGACACATTACCCTACAACAAGTAAATTAAATTTATTTTGTGACCACTTCAAAAGCCCAATTTTTACTTCACGGGGTAGCCATCATATCAGTTACATGGCTTAACTGATAATTTGATTACAGATAAAGAAGAGATATTAAATCATCTGTCCCCAGCTTGAATATATTGCACAGGAATTCAAAAGGATTTAACTTTTTTTTTCTCAAAAAACTTCAATTAAAAAATAAAGTAATGTTCAGCACATGCCCATATGTAAAACTTAGAAAGTGGAAGCAGAAAAAAAGAACTATAATTATGTTTAAATCCTCAGTGAACTCAAACTACGTCATTGTTTAATCAGTGTCACAATCTGTACTAGCCACCACATGACTGACTGCAGTGGTTTTTCACAATAGTCTTCTGTACTGAGTTCTTAAAATGCTATACCAGATCTGTATCCCAGCAGTACAGTGTTATCATTTAGAACTCAAAATAGCATTTAATTCACAAGTCTTCTAAAATAGTTTTCTTCTAAACTAAATCTCACTATCTCACTGAAACACTGCTTTGTTTACAAGTCCCAATATTCAAGGTTGGACTCGCGTATCCATCGCTTGGTCTAATTCAACACGTACGCCTTCTTGAAAACAAATTAGCACATTCCCCTTCACACGCACTGCACGCTGCCAGGATCTGTCAGGAGTTTCAGTTTAAGAATTTATATAAATTGAATAATATAAGGGGCACCCAAAACAATTGTTTTACAAACCAATTGTAAAACACATTCAATGGATTCAAAACTGAAATTAGTCAAGAACTAAAAACTCTTTGCTACCTTCCAACTACATTTGTGCCATAACCCCTTATTTTTTTACAAAGATGATATTTTTGCTGCAACCAACACATTGACTGAAATGTTCAGGATCCTGACAACAAACCTGCAATTGTTTATTGACCATGGCCCTTGGCACAAAAAGTGGGAAGCAAAGTTGGAGCTTTCTTTTGTTCTAATCTTATTCTATTTGTCCTCAGTTAAAGAAAAACTCATGCATATTATCTGCTGAAGCCTAAAAATGGGAAAAAAATCAACTGATCCCATTATAGCCATTCATTCATATTTGTGTTTGGGATTTTCTTTTTGGTTTGTTAGGCTGTTTGGGAGGAAGGGGGGTCCATAAATATTCAGTATCCAGACCTGGATAGATATGACTATGATTTCTCCTCAGATACTAAGCTTTTAGCAAAAAGCAAAATTTATTGTGAAAACTCAAGAATCCCACAATTGGAAAATCTCAGCCCCTGTTCCTCACCATTCCTCCAGTTTCCTTACCAATAGCCATCAGCTGTGTGACACGTTCAGTTGGTACTGTCTAACCAAATAATCAACTACATGGTTGTTGGATTTCCCGTAGCTTATCATTCTAAATTATAAAGATGCAGCACAACTATTTATATTGTTAAAGTGCAAGAAGGAGCCTTGGTGGGGTTGGAGTTTCCACAATCCGGGAACTATTCCAAACAGGCAGTTTGCAGTTTGGAAGATAAGACAGCGTAATAGCAGAGATCTGTGCTGTTCCATGTCCCTTTGAATGGGCATATTTAATTCTTGTTACCCTATGTTACCTAGCATTATGTTACACAGGTAGCATAGCTCTGGATGTCTAATAAATACCACACATCACACCACTTACAGCTGGTGTGCAGACAACCAGCCACTGTATTAAACCAAGTGGAAAAAAGACACAAGAAACTCCTAATAGACACAGAGCTACGATCACCAGCATTGTAAAAGCATCAAATCTAATTCCAATCCCACACAGCTGTGAACTTCTTAGCATTCTCCCAGAAATGTTTTGCATACAGCATCAAGCAGAGTACAGCCCAGGAAAGCTTTCTGAAAATCATGCTTAAGGATACGTTTCACTTACTGTTTTATCACTACTATATTTAGATTTTTTAAAACTGCAAGGAGAAAGAGGAATCCAAGGGATTTAAAGAGACAAGGGAAGCAGCCAGCTCAGAAGAAGCAAAGCTGAAGGAAAGGACAGTACATTCTGCTCATGTAACTTGGGATCCACTCCTACAAATATCAAACACCAGGGCTTATCTCTACTTGGACAAGCAAATGAATGTCTGTCTATGCAGAGCACGTCTGTCTCCACTGCTCTTCAATTTACTCCCAGGTTTTGATGCTCTAATGACTTTAACTGAGTGAATACTGGTGCATGCCAATGTGCTCCAGTGTTCTTCTGACCCAGGATCTGTGTCTGTATGTGACACCTGACTTAAGTTTTGGAGGTATATAAGAACCTTTAAGAAAAAAATGTGCATCCAATTTCTTTTTTTTGCAAACCATCTTGAAAAGTCCTTTCACACAAGCATTTGAAAACCAGTCAAAGAAAGAGATAAAAATTGATGTATACTATAAAGCCTATTATTATTATTTTGAGGAGTTTTGGTAACATCATGTATCCATTTAAGTCATCTGCCACTACCTCTCTGTTTCCAGTTGATAACTCCACCGGAAAATTTAACCTCTTCAGCTGAAATTCTCTGCAGTGCTGACCTGGGCTTTCTTGGTAGTGCGAGCCAAGGTATACATTTTAGACACAGCAGTTCAGCTCGTTGTATCAGGCTGATGCAAAGCAAGTTATTCTTCTCATGTTAGAAAATTCAAACTTGATGTTTTCAACAAGAAATCCCAGGTTTCATTTGAAATGTGCCTAGAAAGAGACTTCAGTACCTATGATGTGCCTTTTGCCCTACTAGTGGTGCCATCTCCTGCCAGCCCTGCACAGAGATCTGGGCTGAGGCTGCAGTTCCTGCTTACTTTAGCCTCTCTTCAGCCAGTGCTGTTGCTGAGAAAGGGTCCTGTCACCTCATTCTGTCCTGAGCTCACCTTTCTGCTCACTCCCTCCTGCCAGAATTAGGGAAGTGTTCTCATTAGAATCTTATCCCCTTGGCCAGGTTAGCCTTCAAGCACGTCTCCTCCCAGATCAAGATCCTCCCTTCAAGCGTTTCACCTCCAGCATGTAAACTCAGGAGCCCATGTAAAGTCACTGTGAGAAGTAGCAGCTGGAGATGGATGAGGAGGAAAAGGATGGGATGGCCTCTTTGATGGCTGTACAGACACACTTTAGATCAGTGTAAGATGCAAATTTAGTTAACACATCTGAGAAACACCCTGGCCTGACATGGGGAGACTTTCAGTGCACAGGGCTATGTCATGCTGCAAAGTACTCATCCATGAAGAATAAAGCTTCAAACAATGCACACTGATCCAGGTTCAGTGCACCGTGAGTAGCAGTAACAGAGGTTTGAAAGCAGCACTGAAGGGTCCAAAACCCTGTGGAGAAAGGGGATTGCTGGCTACAGGGACAGCTCCATGGGCAAAGAGGAAAACACGAAAGTTCACATGAAAGAAAACACTTCTTTGACCCTGCTGCTCTGAAAAAGTACTTTTTCATATCATGAATACTTCCATTTCATGAATATGGAAGAACTTTTCAGATAATGGTACTATTTGAACCCTTTTTGATGCTTTATACCACCAGGAATGTCTCTGGCCTTTGGAGCAGACCCCTCCATCCCCATCCCCTCCCTCCAGCACCCATCTCACCTGCGCAGCGACAGCTGTGATTGAAGAACTTGAGGGGCCACCGCTCACGGTCATCCACATTTTGGAGAGTGTAGGGGCCACTCCAGGGCTGAGTGTCTGTCTGCACCCCCTCACACCGTCCCCTGCCCTGCAGGGACCCGCAGATATTGCCTGGCTCTGTCCCCAGGGCCGGGCAGCAGCGTTTCAGGCGAAGGGCTTCCACCGTCATGCAGGCACGGGGAAACTGTGCCTGTGCGGGACAGCAGCAGGTCAGGCATCCCAGCCCAGCCCAGAAAAGCCACCTCAGGGCTGCCATTACTGCTGCTGTGCCTCCCTGCTGGACCTGACTGCGAAGAGCAGGGAGATGTGCACAGTGGGACAACCTGGCCTCACCACAGCTGCATGCCCCAGCCAACCAGGATAATAACCCTCGCTGCTGAGGATGCTGGTGTTAGGTGTTTTTTTAATCCCAGCCTCTAATTGCCTCGAATGCAGTTCAAAAGACGGGTGCTTTGACTCTGTGGTGCCTGCCCAGCAGCCACGGCTTTGAGCAGGGTTTATATAGAGGCTGGGAGAAGCCCTCATTAGAGGGATTAGCACAGCACAAATCCTCGTGTTTTGCACATGACATCAAGGGCAAAAAAGATGCCAGTGTGAGAGCAAGGCTCTGGCAGCTTGTCAGGAGAGTGAATGCCTCAGATTTATTTCTCCAAGTCTTTTATGAGCTTTGAGAAATTGATGGTCTTGTTTTAGCTGAGGTGGCTGGAGAAACACATTTATTCCTTTAATCAAAACCCTGTAAACAGATAATAAATAGAAGAGGAAACCTCTTCTCTTTTAGTTCATTCACTGCAAGGTAATACTTTCCATTAAAGCAGTAGCAGTGGAAAAGTAACTGGAGGCGCAGAGGATAGAGATGCACCATTAACAAAAAATAATAAATATGGTAACATAAATTTGGGGTGGAGATTCCACCTGCCAATTGCTGAACTTCAGTGCTTGAACTGAAAACATCTGAGTGGCAAGTGGGGAAGGGTTTCCTTCCCAATAGCCTTTTTGCATGCAAAATTAATTATTTAATTATTTTAAAGAGCAAATGGTCCTTATTTGCTCTGTAATCCTTTCCCCATCATTACACCAGAGGTTGTTGTAGAGGTGGTCTGGCTGTTAGACTTTCAGAAGTGTCACAGCTGAGCATTTATTACCCAGCTGACAGGAGACGGTCTATGAGATCAACACACATTCCAGACATGCACTTAAGTTGTTCTGTTCAGTACACCGACAAAAATATCTTTAAAAAGCTCCTAGTATGCAGAAGTTCTTGCCCTCAATGCAACTCCTGCAGCAATAAAATTAATAAACAAAAATAAAGTAGTGAGAAGTGATTCCATGAGTCTAAAGCAATACCTATTAGTGCAGGTCCACCATGTTAAATAAAAACTGGCAACTCCCCCTGCTTCACTGAAAGCTTTCACTACCTTCCCCCTCCACCTTCCCGAGCTGTTGTTTAGCCATTTTCATAAGCATATATAATGAAAAAAACCACGGTTGTGTAAGTGGTATTCAATACTTTCATGGATGTTCAACCTCACCATTCTGCTACAAAAAGTTTTTGATCAATGAAGCAAATTATTGCCGTCATGTAGCTAAAGAGTTCATCCACACCAAGGACACTGTCATCAGCACTTTTAGGTTCTCAGATCTTTATATCAAAAACTTATTGTTTGACAGACAAACTGAAATATTATTCTACCTCATTTATGGAGGCATAAAGCATATTAGCAATACCATGTATTCTGAAATGGGTGTCAACTCACTTCACTTTGGATTCAATTTATCTGGAACTAGCTTTTGTCTGCTGCTGTTGACACTGCATGTGAAAAAGACGGAAAGTGTGAATAGCTGCTGAAAAAAATATGTTGAAGAAGCTCAGGAGTTATAAAGGAAAGAAGTGGCTCAAAAACCCTCTGAAAAACACTCCTCTCCATCCTACTCAGCACCCAAATGCTTCTCTCTGCTGTGTGAAGAATCTGTCTTTGAATCTGTGTTAGACAATGTCCTGTACCAAAGTTATCCACATAATATCTGAAAGCAATTAAACACTCACTTATCAGCATCACCAAAATGAAATCAAAATATACAGATAGCATTCAGCTAACCAATCAAACCCCTGAACTGGTGGGTCTATATGCAAAATACGTGTCCAAGAAACCATTTTAATCAAAGCTGGCTCAATTCAGACACTGATAGGAAGGTTTCTACAGCTATTTGAAACCCTGTATGAAACAGAAAGAGTAAGCACAGAGAAAGGTGAGGTAGTGAGGCAGGCAAGATAATGTAAGGCAAGAAAATAGGTTTCTAATGTAGTACATGAGGAAGGAGAAATCTGCTGTTTTCAGAGAAGTTGTAGAGTGGAAAAGGAACAGCAGGCAGAGGATGACATGGAAATTACTTAGTTTGCAGGGAAAATAAAACTGTGAGTAGAAGAGTGTCACGTGTAGATTTTATTATGATTACTTCCCTCCATCACAACCACATAATTCTACAACACTGGGAGCACACTACAGCATGCAGTCCTGGCATAGATGTAGCAGCAGTCAGTAGTATCTTGTCCTCAGTAATGCATTAGCATTTTAGGAGTGCCTTCCCTGGCTAAGTGGGAACACCCAGACAAATAGAAGGATGCACAGATCCCACATCCTGGCATCACTGCGTCACCAGCAATGGTGGTTTTCTGCTGCTGCATGACACGCCATGAGGAACACGCTGAAGAAAATTACAAAAAGACAGTTGTATTTCTATTAGTCACTGGAAAACAGCAAGCACTGTCCATTCTTTAGCGTGCCACTACTGAGAAGTCCCTCTGTTTTTCCCACGCAATCACACTTCAATAAAGGAGCTGTTGTTGAGGCTACACAGAATCAGCACTATACCGGTTTACAAATTAGTACCCTGAATGACTTTCTATTTACTACTGAGTTTCACTATGTCTTGAAAAATGGGTGGTGCTGTGTGTTGGTATTACTGCCCTGAGCCATCAAAGGACTTTTCAGGCAGCAAATCTGAGCATATGAGCCATGCCATGATCCAAACTGTGATTGCACTCCCTTTTCCACAAGCACTGGGCTTACATGCCACAGTTTGGCAGATGGGGAGCTACAGGAGTGGATTCTGTGAGAAGCTTCTAGAAATTTCCCCCACGTCCAAGAGAGCCAAATCCAGCTGGCTCCAAGACGGGCCCACCACTGGCCAAGGCCGAGCCCATCAGCGAAGGTGGCAGCACTTTGGGGATAACAGATTTAAAAGGGGAAAAGAAATTACTGCATAATGGCAACTGCAGACAGAGAGAGGAGAGAAAATATGTGAGAGGGACAGCCCTGCAGACACCAAGGTCAGAGAAGAAGGAGGCGCAGGAGGGGCTGCAGGTACAAGAGCAGAGATCCCCTGCAGCCAGCCCTGGTGCAGCCCATGGGGAGGCAGCTGTGTCCCTGCAGCCCATGGAGGTCTACGGGGGACCAGAGACCCTCCAGCAGCCAGGGGAGAACTCCACACCACAGAAGGTGGGTGCCTGAAGGAGGCTGTGATCCTTTGGGAAGTAGGCTCCTGGCAGGACCTGTGGAGAGAGGAGGAGCCTGTGCTGTAACAGAGCTGCTGGCAGGACCTGTGACCCTGCAGGGACACACACTGGAGCAGTCTGCTCCTGCATGGCTGCACCTGTGGGAAGGACTCCTACTGGAGAAATTCATGGAGGACTGTCTCCTGTGGGAGACACCCCAGGCAGAAGCAGGGGTAGACTGTGAGGAGTCCTCCCACTGAGGAGGAAGGAACAGAAGAGACATGATAGACTAACCAGAGCTCCCATTCACTGCCTCCCTTCACTGCTGGTGGGGAGAAGGCAGAGAAATTAGGAGTGAAGTTAAGCCCAGGAATGGGGGAGATATGAGGGGGAGGTGTTTTCAAGATTTTATTTCTTTCTCATTTCCCCAATCTGATTTGACTGGTAATAAATTATACTAATTTCCCTGTGTCTGTTGTGCCCATGATAATAATTGCTGAATGACCTCTCCTTGCTCTTATCTCAACCCACAAGCCTTTCTCTATATTCTCTCTCCCCTATCCAGCTGAGGAGGGCAGTGACAGAGTGGTTTTGGAGGGTGTCTGGCATCCAGCAAGGGTAAACCCAACACACCACACATCTCAGCTACTGGATCAGGCTACCACACCTGAAACTGTGTTCAATTTTTAATTACATTATTTAGGATTTACTCTGAAAGCATAGGAAAACAGTATTTCAGCTACCTTGTAGTCTGGATTCATGCAGAGGGTGACCCCCTACAGAAAACTTGTCAGCCAGTCATTAAAGACTGGCAAAGAAGTATATCCATATGCCAACACATTTTTGGGACAAATACATTCTCATATTTTTGTGGCAAGAGAGTAAATAAAGAAAAAGAATACTCAAAGGTACAGGCAAAGAAATCACTAAACACAATTCACACAAGTAATACAGAATTCCTGAGTAGTAAGTAGGCAGCAAGTTCACTTTTTTTTTCTCAATGACACTATTGTTTCTCAGGCTCCTTCTACTGTACTCAAGCACAGATTAGTATCAAGCCAGAAAAGTATTTGGCCTTTGGAATTTTGGAAAGAATTTTGGTCAAAATGAAACATTCGACATATAAACTGGAGTGGAAACCAGAAGAATTATATCAACAGAAGAATAAATAAATTACACAATAATTTATAATTACTCTAGAGATAGCAAGAAAGATCATTTTATAAGGAAACCTGTAGCAGAGGTTTTCAGACACCTGTTCATGTTCTACGTTTCCCCAATCTCCTAGCAAATTTATATCTTTGGGATCTCTCAACAAAAGCTACTGCCCTGTCACCACCTTACCCTTTGTCTCCCTGTCCAGTATTTGGGAGAATGAAGCAATGTCTGGGCATGTCAGAGGAGCTCTGAAGATCTCATGATCCTGCCCTCTTCATATGAACAGTCTCATCATCTCCTGGCTTCTCATGTTTAAGTTATTTATCCAGTCCTTTCCTAATGCATGGAATTATTTTACTGAAAACCAGTTTATATGCTACAACATGTTCGCGTGTTAGAAGAGAAGAGCAACTCAGAGCAGAACAATATGTGTGAGAGATCTACATTTAGACAGAGGAATTCCCTCCAGATTCTTCATGGATTCCTCACCAGGCCTTGTGGGCCAGCTGAACTTGCCTCCCAGAAGTCTGGAGCTGACGGCAGTGGGAATTCCTCATTACTTAAAGACACACACAGTTCCAAAGCTCTGAATTTGCTGGCACTTTGCTTCTCCTCTCCCCAAGGATACATGCTAGCTGAAGCATGTACTCTGCACAACTTGCATAGGAAGGTCCTACGCTCCTACACTGCTTTGGTACAGCACATGCCTGTGTCAACTCTGCCAGATCTTTCCACAGCCTTAAGTAAACATTATTTGCAGACACATTTTTACACTTACAAGTCTGGTGTTG